AAATAAACCCAAGCTCCCTCTGATCACTGGGTAGACAGACATAATTTACCATTTGTCTATATTTGGTGAATAATAATACAAGCAACATCGACTTCCAACTGCAGAATTTACATAAAGCTAAATGGTGCACCTGCAGGCAAAAGTGCGAATGGCCAGGAGTTTGAAGGATTTGGAAAAGTTTGCATAGTTTGCCAATCAACTGTATGCTTCTGTGTCCTGTATTTTTTAATATGGTGTTTTAGTTTTAGTGATCTAACATCTTTTCTGCAATTCTTAACTGACTAATTGTCTGTTAATCTAGTTGCCCATTTGAAAAACAAGGTAAAGCAATTTATGTTTGAAATTATCTACTTATAGTTGCAATTTCTGAAACTCATTTGGATGAATCAACTGACGATAAAAAGGTATCTTTACAAGGTTATTATATATTTAGACTTGATAGAAACATATAGTGGGGAGGACTGGCCTTTTCTGTACAAGATTATGTTCCAGAAAGAATGTAGAAGCAATGTGGATTCAGGTTCACCTCCCACAAGGCCATTGATAGTATGTTGCTGCAATAGACCACCCAACTCTGATGCTCCTTATCTGAATAAAATCTGTACACGCTGTTTCTGACACAGACAGAGAGATCTGTTTTGTAGGAGATCTGAATATAGACAGGCCTTCAAAAAAAAATTGCCTTAAGAAGAGAAAGCTTAATGACACTGCCACTGTTAGAAACTTATCCAAATGATAAACCTACTAACTGGAATAAACACCAGCAAGTCAGATTTATCATCTTCGGCATTATATCAATATATTTGAAAAGCTATTGTCTGACTTAAAACGTATCAAACCTTTTGGTCATGATAAACTAGACAGTAGACCCTTGAGTTGTAGATGGTGTTTTATGTTACATTTCTAAGGAATTTATCCTCAAGTATGGAATGCTGCTAAGGTCACTCCTCTACCAAAAAACAGGAAAGAAGAATTTACAGGATGAAATAGCGGGCCAGTCCACAGTTTTACCAGTTTTATTAGGAAAATTAGTGGAAAAAATCATATTGAAGCAAATTATTTTTCTATTAATAGTATTCATTCAGACTTTTAACATACCTATAAAACCAGCTTCTCAATGTGCACAGCTCTCACATCATTGACAGATGACTGGCTAAAAGATGTTGACAGGAAATTATTAGTTGGAACAGTGTTGTTGGATTTTAGCGCTGCATTTGATATTATGGACCAAGGACTGCTACTTAAAAAACTGACCATTTATGATTTTAAACTCTCAGCTATTAACTGGATGAAAACATACCTTTTTAACCGACAGCAATGGGTCATGTTCAGTGTAAAAACATTAGACTGTAGCATTCCTCAGGGAATTTGCCTCGGACCTTTGTTATTTGTAATATTTGTAAATAATATACCATGTCTTTTTAAAGAATGCTTCAATTTCAATTTATGCAGATGATACTACAATATATGCTTCTGTCACAGACCTGAGCAGTTTACCTCAAGACAAGTTAATGCAGGTTTCTAACTGGGTCACTGAAATAAGATGAAACTTCATATTTCTAAAATCCAATGTCTTTTTGTTGGCTCAAATTATGCCCAGAGAAAGAAACACAATTTAAGTGTTTCTTTGTATAGAGTTAAGATTGGGAATTACAATAGATGACACACTTTCTTGGCCTACTCATTAATGATATTGTAACAAAAATGAGCAGGAGTATTTCAATCATAAGAAGGTGTGCATATTTTCTAACCAGCACAACAAAAGAGCAAGTCATACAGTCCCTTGTCTTGTCACGTCTCGGCTATTGCTCAGTAATCTAGTCAAATGCATCGAAACAAAACAAAAAAATAAAATCCAATATGGAGCTGCATGATTAGCTCTGCATTGCTCTATTAGTAACAACATTGAAAACATGCACAAACAATTGTCATGGATGAGAGTTGGTGGGAGACGTCTAGCTCTATTTTTGAAAAACATCTATGTCTCACGTAAGGCTACCAGTCTTTTTTCTAAGCTGTTGCTCCCTAGTAATAGTCACAACTATGGCACTAAACAAGCCGTGAGAGGGAATTTCACCTTGCTTAAACTTAAAACTGTGATGTACATGGCAATCACATCACAGTAGAGTAGGTTTAGAGAAAATACTTGGAAGAGCTGTAATGCAGACAGAGGTTGTAGTAGGGTTGTAGGTTGTGACTAATGTTTTAGACAGTTACTTGTTTTGTGTTTTGAGTTATGTATGGTAAATTTAGTTTATGCTTATATTTTGTTTAATTTCAGTTAAGTGTGCTGGGTGAGGTAATCATGACTATATGTTCTACCTTTGCTTACTTTTATGCCTGTTTCATTTTAAATGATCATTCTTTGTTATTGAGGAAAATAGTTGTCTTTTTCCTTTGTAGATGTGTGAATGTATATCTTATACTTGTCCTTGAATTTGTTTTGTTTTTTATAACGTTTTACTTTTGAATCTTTTAAATGCACTGTAATTTTTAAATGACCTCTGCAGGAAGAACAGTTACCACTGAGGCAGTGCCTAATGGGAATCTACAATCAACAATAAACAAACCTAAAAGAGGAACTGAAATTCTCACTAAGAGGGCAACGGGATAAATCTATGAATCTACGGTCCCAGACAAAGAGACGTTACATGTGATGAGCATATACGACTTTGAAAAGACATCCTCCAGCTTGTTCTCTTAATTATTAATTTCATTTCATTTTAATACTGAATCTAAAACAAAATGTATATTTACCTCGTGTTCATAACTCACCTGTGATATAAAGACATGTATGTTTTTTTCCATCACTCTTCATCACTGCACCGCTGTCTTGTTTGTATCTGCTAAAAGTCTGGTTCCCTGTATGTGCACACATACTTGGCCCATTAAGCTGATTCTATTTCTGATTCTGTTGTTTATTGGTTGGATTTTTCAAGATTAGAGGGATGAGTAAAAAGAGATGATACATCTGTATAACTACATATAATAACTATAATATAACTGAACTCTTTGGAGGTATTGTGCTTTGTTACTTTACTGATGAATGTAAATGTTTTATCTTTTTTAAATTTCTTTCCAGTTTTTCTTTGTACTTGTCTGCTTTGATTCCCATATGCAGTGTAGTTGAATCTTTGGGGGAAAAAACAAGCATGATAAATATTTTGTTTGTCATTTCTGAAAACCAACAAACACAAAATTTAAAACACAAAAGAAGTGCTAGAATCCTTTCAACTATTTGTCCTTATACTCCAGGATACTCTGTGCCAAGCTTCATACTGGGATGACTTCAATAATGGTCAATTATCATGCCAGAAACATTTTTCAAAAAAGATGTTTTTGGATCCCTGAGACCAAACAGCCCAGAGTCGCCATTTCTATCTGGAAACGGCCGACACTCTGAGCTACCTGGAAACACAGCAGAAAAAAGGTAGCTGCTGACATCCTGAGGGCTGGTCCAGGATCCTGGCTTAAATTTAGCTTAGGAAGGGAAACCCATTCTCAGGCGATTTTTATAGATACTATTCAGTTCAGATTTTGATCCCAAACATAATTTATACTTTAGTATTTCCTAGCTCAGAATGTGCCCTCTACCCTCTCATCAGTAAAAGTCCAAATGCATGACTCCTCTTACTTTTAATGTAGAGAAGTTCAGCTGGACTGATTTTATTATATAGTCTAAAAGACTGAAATACATCACTACAATTAATGAAAATTTCATGTTTAAATTTGAAAATATAACTCATATGGAGAAACGCCCAGGAGCTACTCCAGGCAGGTAACTTGAGCTGCTTTGTTTACACACTCAGATATCACTGTTGAATTTTAAGTTTTTGGTATTTTTGGTCAACCGTAAACCCAGAATCCACCTGCAGGCTCCATCTGGGGGATTTAAGATTTTCCCTCCTCACACTTCAGACTCGGAGTTTGTAAAATAAATCTGTGAGGAGTAGTGAGCTAGACGCATAATTTTCTGATGCTGCAACACAGTTCCGAATGTAAGTTGTCTTTAAATCAAAACCGGCATATTAAACAGTAGCAGACCCTCTCCTATGACCCATCCCTCAGTCCATTGTTGAAGCACATCAGAACAGTCTTATCACCAGCCATTGACCTTCTTAATAAGCCTTGTTCTTCCATACAGTCTCCGCCTGGTGTGAAAGCCCATTTCCACTTTAGGGTGAAGGAGGCTGCAGCAGTGATTGTGTTCCCTGACATGTGACATACGGGGGGTTAAAGGGATACAATAGTTCCATCATGTAAGGAAGTCACAGAGACTGCAGGAGAAATCAAAAGGAGAGAGGAGGGCCCGGCATTAATGCTCGGCACGTTCTTTATATTTCAGAGTCTGATCCTTTTTTCCCCGTCCTCTGTCCTTCAACAACAACAGAGCAATTACATCTCAGGTGATAATAAAAGCCCTTGCAGGAAGCCAGGCGCCCATTGTCAGGGGAAGGTGGCTTTGCTTTTTTTATATCACCATTCAGTCGGTTATAAATGTCATCTAAAAGACATCCTCATTTCAAATGTAATGAATAAACATGATTTCCTGCAGTAAAACACACAAGGTTCAGATTTGCATCCATTTCTCATTTATAACAGAAAAAAAACCTTCAATTAAACTCCAACTGCAACATTAAAGAGTAGAATCTAATGCATGTGTTAGCTTGAATATTAAAATGTAATATTGTAATGTGAAATCACTTCTTTTCCTCTTCAAAAGACACAGTAGGACCTATCATTCCCAGCCTGTGGTCCTTCAAATCAATGCGTCAGATATGAGCAGAATTAGCGCTGGATCAGACTGAATTTAGCTTGATGAAAAGGCGTCTTGTGCCGCCGCCACAGGAGCCCTGATGTGTGGAGGAGGAGGGGGAGAGAAACAATAGAAAATGCATAATGCTCAGAACAGTGGGATCCCTGCTCCCTCTCCACCTGGGACTCTGTGTGGAGGATCCCCTCTGACCACAGCCCAATTAAATCCTGCACACACACACACGCACTTACACAAGACACACACACACATCTCCACATGGAGTGACCTGCTTCCATCATGAATATGGATGTGTTGAAGGAATGCAAATAGAGAGACGGAGAGAGGGAGAGAGAGAGAGACGAAAAGTCAGACAGTCAGCAGCACAACAAAGAGGTGGTAGGAAATGAGAACAAAGGATCAGCGCGGGTTGAAGCCGCACAGATGCCTTCACTTCCAGCTCTGCCACAGCCCAGATCAGAGAGGACATGTCTGGGTAAGAGCCGCCATAAATCACCAAATACTCCTGTTAGATTTGTACCCTCTAATATAGATGCTTTTGACATCATACTGCTAGTTTTAGTCTTTAGGTTTATATGTGTTTATCTGCTTCATCCACAACAATAAAAAACCATCAGGGCCATAAACTCACATCTCACTCAATCATCCCCCAGTGCCTCTGAATGTCTCGTCATTTAGCAAGGCAGGGCTGAGAGGAGGCAGAGCCGAAGATAAATGTGAGGGTAAATGAATCATTCTAATACGCTTTGTAAATATCTGCTTGCTCTCAAGAAGAGGATCCAGCAGTCACTCATTGGTGCGTAGACCCCATAAATTTTAGATGAAGCCGGGGAGACAGCTGCCCAGAGGACACTGGTGATCCCAGCATGAAAACACTGGAAATAGCTGTGAGAGAAGAGGCACCATTAGGGAGCTCTCTGGCCGGTTAAACAACTGGTTTGTAAAATGGGCTTTTGTGCAGGGATGATTTTAAAAAGCACTGGTTATTGTGAAATAAAACAGCCTCATTAAAGGGAGAAAAAATGCCCTGGAAGTCAGATTCCGTATGAGAAAGTGTGCAGGGCGATGCAACAGATTTTCCATGGTGCTTAAATAGAATAAGCAATAAAACGGATGGCTTCATAGATAGTGACATTTAATGCAGGAGAAGTGCCAAGCCAGACGTGGTGTACAGGGGTCTGCTTGTAAATAATTAATCTTTGCTCTTCATGTCTTCTTGTCAGTACAGACGAGGGGCTTGTATCCTGGCAACGCGCCATGGTTCCCACATGCTGCAGGGAGAGGGAGGCCCTCAGGGGGGAGACAATCTTCAACCTGCCTGCAGCAGCGAGCGTGCACACACATGCAAACACAGGCATGCATGTGTACACCAGAAATGAGACTGACTGGATGTTTGTACATTCTGAGAACATGCATATGTTAGTGTGCATCCTTTCTCACACACACACACACACACACACACACACACACACACACACACACACACACACACACACACACACACACACACACACACAGCAGAAGGGAAGACTTACCTCACCACACAACACCATATGCAAGGATTGGTGCATGCTTACTGTAGACACTGTAGACACTACGGGGTAGACAGACGGAGGCTCTCTGCACACACACTCACACACAGTCCTCTAGAGTCGGCCTATTAGCGCTGCCCTGATTGGTGCCTCAAACACCAGACAGGCTCACTGAAGGTCCTGATGTGCAATCCTTTCTGTCCAAAAAAGCCACAGAGGTCCAAACATGCCTGTGTGTGGGAATTTGATCTTAAACCCAGAATATTCTGCTTCAAGTGTTGGTGCAGGATGACACCGACATCAGAGGAAAGGATTTAGATGTCTTCTTTTTTCCTTAGATTAGCCAATAAGTTTGTCCTAATGTTTGATAAATTATTCACATTTTATTCTGTGACATCATTTAAAAAGGTCAGACATAAAGCAGTTCCTTGTTCCTATGATTTTATTGATGTCAATATTGGCGGAGTGTGATCATTTAGCACTCTAGTTGGAATAAAGAAAATGTGGGGAGTCCTCAGCTCAATGGCCCTTTTTTTCCAGACTAAATGAACAAACTAATGGCTTTATAATATCCACTGGCTTGTTCTTCTGACCATTAAAACAGCACAAACAATAAGGAGAAAACAACTGTGAATTATTTCTGAACATTTATTTAAGTATCTGCCCAGTCATTAGTGCAATCCAGTCTGTTTTTCTCCACACTGAAGCATTTTAACTTTTATTTTTTGTCTCTTAAAATCTTATATATTTGGTGGGTTACTTATCCAGTCTTGTTAAACTCCCCTGTATCCAAACGTAACAGTCTGGTTATGTGTATAGAAGGCCACCACTTGCAGCTGACAGTAATTCAAGTTTTCTTAGGAGCTGTATTGGGTCATGAGTTAACTTTTGCTTATCTCTGCTTTTGTTGTCATGAACCTCAGAGAAAACTGTCATGGCTGCTGTAAAACAGATCCAAATATCAGTCTGCACAGTTTTCTCTCTTTCATCCTCATATGCGTTACATCTCTCTCAGGTCCCTTATTCTTCCACACATCTGCACATATGTCCTCATGAGCATTTTGTGTTGCATGTTTACTTGTGGTCTCCTATTTCTCTGTCTGTATAGAGGTGATTGGTTTTTAGCAGTGTGTCATTCATTTATTCTATTTATTAGTACGATTGTGGATGCAGCTGAGCTGGTGCAGTGCCTGAGAATAAGACAGATGTCCCCAAGGGGACGATAAACGGTTGCATATTGTATCATATCGTATTGTTCTTATCTTATCATTTTGTTTCGTATTGAATTGTATCGTATATCTTTGCAAAAAAAAAAAAAGTCAGACAGAACAACTGCAGATACAGCGGACACATCTGTTCATGAGTGGATATATGCTCTGAGTGGAAGAATGTTCACCTTTTACACGCTTTTAATGGAATTTTTCCATCCCAGAGAAATATGTGGCCAAATGCTTCTCGGTGTCCACTGTTTACTCAATGACTTTCTTTCCTTTTTCACTGTTGGAGTAGCTCACAGTTGGTCTATTAGAGTGTTTTCATCAAAAGCAGAAAGACAGCTGCTCTGGGTCTCTCTCTGTCATAATAGCCAGTATTTTTCCCTTAATCAAATGTTCACTCTGACCATGAACATTTTGGTTCACTGAAAGTGATTAATGTTGGTCTTTCACCTCCTACAGATATGGTTTGATCTTTACTCTAGTCAGAGGTGGCTTGTATAAGGTTGGTGGGCTAACAAATGCATTAGACCAGTGGTTCTTAACCTTGTTTGAGGTACCGAACCCACCAGTTTCATATGCACATTCACCGAACCCTTCTTTAGTGAGGGTTCAGAAATTGTTTATATCCGACAAACGATTTCTGCCGACTTTGCAGAGTCAACTGCAGAATTAACGGCGTTCTGAATGAACGGGGCTTTGAAAAGTCCCGCAGCATGTGTTAGACGTCACCACTACACATCGACCAATCAGGGGCTGCCTTTCCCTGTTGTCCGGGTAACAGTGGAAACACAGTCTCTGATTGGCCCGGTTATTTTCTGATCAGGAATACACGCTCTCTATGGGCCGAAATCCAGACTGTGGTGGGAAGGAACATCAAGTGATTGACGCAACAGGATGGCCCAGCCAGGCTACCGTGGCGGAGGCTCCACCGAACCCCTGAGACCGACTCACCGAACCCCTAGGGTTCGATAGAACCCTGGTTAAGAACCACTGTTTTAGACATATACAGTAAATACTCATCTTGCTGGAAAAGCAGCGTTGCGTGTGCATATTACGACAACACCACAGAGAAGTCTTGATGTTGAAAATCTGCCTTTACCTGTCCCCCTCTCTCTTTGTTGACAGCATATGCTATTTCCTTAATAAGTTTTGCTGTAGTCATGCTCTCTAATTTGGTGAGATGAATTATTTTAATGCACAATTCCTGTATACAACAAAGCACCTTCACAATGCCAACATGGGAAGTAGAGAACAGAAAACTAAGCCAGTCGTTTCTCAGTTTCTCACTTTTGTGTAGTTTAAACACTGTCAAGATGATGAGTCTCTTGACCAGAATGTTAATGATTCATCTCATTCACATCATTTTCACAAATGTCTACAACGGCTCACTTTCCTTCCCGCTCTTCATTTATATCATCATCATTTAGCCCAAAAGATCAGCAAACCAAGGGGGCGTGCCATGACACCTGTCCCTCAGTCACTCTGCAGAAGTGGATGGTGAAGGATGTGGAGGACATCTCCACCTGTGCGTCTATATGGACTGTATTTTGACAGAACTTGGTTGAGGGTGGATATGCAGGGCAGGGTGATGTTTTTCAATTGAAGAAGGGCACATCCAAATCATACCCCACTTGGCTGCAATGGGACAAAAATGAATACAGAAGGGATAACATCAACTCAACAGAAAAATGTTGATTAAGAAACCAAGTGAGAGGAAGTGTCATGTCTAAACCTTAGAAACATGTTGGTGTTTATCTGCTTTCTGAAGGGCAATAGAAATAATGCAGGTTTGATCAGTCTACTGCAGTGGCTTCACTTCCAAAATCAAGAAGCTCCATTTACTTTATGTATTAAGACAAATGTCTTAATACATTTAACAGTGCAGCAAACCCAGCAGAAGTAAGACTTCTCTGCATCTGCATGTGCAGCTAATTCATATCACACAATACAAGGGTTAAAAAAACAAAAAACAATGAAGGACACTCCCCTGCAGAGGCTGCATCACGTCTGAATTCAAAGATGAGGTGTGTTTGCTCTCAGCTTTGGCAGCACAGCTCTCTGCTCATCACTGCAGCAGCACATCGATCAAACCCATTTATAGGTTAACATGCTTTTTTACAAATTCACGATGAATGTGAAGCTATATTTAAATCCTCTACTATTTACTAATGTGTTTGCTATTTCTATGCTGAATGTTTATTGGAGCACCGTGGGCTCTTGAGTAATGCAATATCAATCCTCTCTGTATGTGTTCGACATATTGCAGAATTGACAATAAAGCTAATTTGAACCTTGAACCTACCTTGAAGTTTGTACCCACCCTCACGTGATACAAAGAAGGTTCTGCTGATACCTAAGCACAGTCGTTGGTGACTTTTAATTTTGCCTTCATTGTGAATAATCACCACTAAGGCCAGCTATTTTGTACATTAATGCCATAATGAGCCTGGAAATTGGGCACATTAGTGCATGACTGCTAAAAGCCCATGACACCCATTTTTCATCCCATTTGCCAGAAGTGCATTCTGCCAGTTTGGAGGACTATCAGTTCAGCAGTTCTAGGAAAAATTCTGCATAGCAATTTCAGAGCAATTTCAGGGAGATTTTCTGAGAAGTCATGGCACATTTTCTTATTTTCTCTTCAGTCTCCTCCTAAACCGCAGCACTGACAAAAGGCTGCAAACTGTGGTGTACACACACACACACACACACACACACACACACACACTGAAAGGGGGAGAAAAAGAAACTATCAAGCTGACATGAGCAAAAAAAAAAAACGGAAAAAACAAGAAACCTTGTTTGTGCAGATTGATTGTGTAGAGACGTATTTGGCTAATGGAATTACATGTATGTGCTGGCCTCTCTCTCTGATGGCAGAGTCCCCTCTCTCTTGTCCAGTGTGTATGTGTGTATATGTTTGTGTGTGTTTGCCTGCAGGCTGCTGCAGAGCTGACGAAGGCCTTCCCTCTCTGGTGGGTCAGGCTAATTATTATTCTAATGGCCTCTCAGTCAGATGCAAATAGCTCTAATGGCGAAAGCCCGAGCTGGAGGAGGGAGGGGAGCAGGGGGGTAGATGGAAGTGCACAAAATTAGATTTGCATTTTTGTAAGAGAAATATGCGAGAGTTTGCGTGGAGGGGGGTATTTTGACGCCGTGTGTGTGTGTGTGTGTGTGTGTGTGAAGAGAGAGAGAGGGAGTAATGGTTGAATGATCAGATTTTCCTTTATTATAAAATCTTTGATTTAGCAACTGTATATATATATATATATATATATATATAGATAGATAGATAGATAGATATATGGATTAATGTATGAAAATCTGTTTTTTTTTTACAAAGACAAATCCTCAAATTTTCCTCTTTTATTTCCTCATAATGCAGCTTTATGAAATGCGGTCTCATCCACCATCACCTACTACCTCCTTACAATGCTTACAAGCAATGTCAAAACTGTGTCAGTACTGCAGCTGCTTTCAAGTAGCAGTAAAAATGCATTTCTTTTATACATACCAACCCCTTTTACTTATTTTTTTAAAAAGGGGGTCCTACTCTTGACCCATCAGTGAAGGTCTACTAATTTCTAAACCCACCCACCTTGCACCCCTTTAGACTCAATGTTCAATATCTCTACCCAGCATTACATTTTAAAACTTTGCACCCAAATAAAAGTATCATGGCTCAAGGATAAAGGGGGCAATAAACAGCAGAATGTGTACTTTTTAAAAATCAAATTACACAAATAAAAAAAAAAAAAACACAAACCAAACGGATGAGACATTTCTATGAGTAAAAATAAAGTCGGCTGATAACCAAAGCTCATATCATCTGACAGCTCAGGCACTTCCCTCTCCCTGCATGAGTGTACTTTTCTCACTGCTGTAGCCTGCAAACTCCCTGTAATGATGGGTTTGATGGTAATATGTCATATGTATAGTCACTGATGCCAGCTCTGGATCTTTGCTGATGCTCTCCCTGCCTCAGACTCTGGTATTCCACGTTTACATGAGGATCTTTATACTTGGGCTGTCACAGAAAATATTTGGACTGATGTTTTAAATTTTACTCAAACTTTGGTCAGAATTTTTTACCTACTTGTTTTAAAAAGAAAATCTAAAAGATATATTCTGTTGTTGCAGAGCAAATATTATGAATTATAAATCCACTCACATTTAAGTGAAGTATCCACCATCCAGCAGTCGTGTTGTACTCGGTGTTGAAGAATTCAACCTTGCCCGGCTCTTAAAGACCAGAATGTCACATCAACAGTGCAGACCAAGGCCGCTCCGGGACAAATAGATGGAGATTGCATTGTTTCCATGCCCTCTCATTCCCTCATCATTTGAAAGCTCTTGGACCCTCCATGCAGCTGAGACATTTTAATTCTCCAAGGCTGTGTGGGTGCCAGTACATTGTCAATGTCAGGCAGAATTGTGTTATAAAGTGAGATCAGTGCTGAGGAAACTAAGGGTTTGGCCGTCATCTTAATAAGATGGCAATGAAAGAAGAGAGTATGCAGAAAATCACACGTGGATCCAGAGTTCAACTGTGGGGGCATTTCATCAGAGGGACTTTGTTTTTAATGATTTGATTCAAGGTTGTTGGGGAAAAAAAGGGGCTTTTAATCCAAGAGCACATGAAGAGCTGGATTTCTGCCGGGAATGTGCGGAGAAAAAAAACAAAGACGGGATCTTGAATGATCATGAAGAATAAAAGAGAGACTGTTGGCAGTCCAGCATCTGTAAAAATCCTCTCAGTTTTTTGGAAAACTTTCAAAAGGTGCAGATTTTATAACCTGCAATTAAAGAGTCACAGAATGAATGGAAGTCAGAAGTAGGTGTTTTTTTTCCCTCAAAAATAAAGAGAAAAGTGAGTCTGGGATTCGTTATAATCACTGCAGCCCTCAGTGTAAAAATTATCTTTAAAGTAAAGGAGTCATTTAATGGAGTATGTTTTCTACATTAGCGTTTATCACAATGAAACGAGGGCAGATCAACTCGGCTCTTTTCAACCTAACATTATTTTCCTGCTTCAATCAAGACTGGATTTCAATGACTACGGGAATGCATCCTGATCAGTCCTTAGAGCGTCTTTGAAGTAAGCACTCATGTTCACCTCTGTGCTAAATGTGATTCCCAGCAGATTCCCAGTAACCATGGTGAGAGGGAGGATGGGAAACAGCATTCCTCCAGGAAGCGAGATGAGGAGCTCACAGAGGGACGATTGTTTACTCAAGTAAAGGCCCGACACAGAAAGAGACGGAGCTCTGAAAAGAGGGTGGAAGAGTAAAGGATGTAAGGATGGGTTGAGAACAGAGAGAGAAAAAAAGGAGAGACACGTTATGTGATGGGAAGAATGATAGTGTGTGTGTGATCCTGGAAGTGAAAACACGAAAAGCACATTTGAGTTAGTGAATATCAGAGCAGCCAGTGTTGGTTTCACATCAAGTTCACTCACAGCTTGCCATCCTTAAGTAAAAAGCATATCTCCCTCTGCCAGCTCCTCACCATTGAACCCTCTGTGGCAGAATTCAAGTCCCCAGGCTGTGACAGCTGTGGGCCCTGAAGTGGCGTTTCCCAGAGAGCCGGCCAAACATTCCTCCCTGCTTTGTGTCTTACAATGAGCACAATAACTTCAGCAACAGCACGGCACTCAGCCCATGAGAGGAAGAGGAGAAGTGGTGGCTTGTTTTCTGAGAGTGTCAATTATCTGCCCGGCTATATAGCTCACTCCGCTTTCCCTTTCTTCCTCCACTCTTCTCTTTCTTGCTTTGACGGCACTGCCTCACGTCTGAGAAACATTATAAGGTTTGAAATAAAACACTTTCCACTTTGTCATGAGCTTGGCAGCGCTGCCCACGCATTGTGTAGGAGCTTAATTTCCATCCACTCTCTTCTTAAGTGCAGCTCAATTCATCAGGAGAGGATGTTAAGGCTCGCGTCGAGAGTTGAAAGAATACAACGAAATGAGTGCTGACAAAGACGGTCGCTGCAACAACATAACCTGCTCCAGGAGAAGAAAGAGGCTTCAACTCTTCCTCACTGTTTGCTGCTGTGACTGGGTGTTAGCCTGCACGCTCACACAGATCCTGTTCTCTCACTTTAGATCACATATCAAAACCAAAACACATTTAATCCTCCTCTGTCAGGCTCTCAAACATCACATCATCCTGTATGAGCATCACACCAACACACACATATGCACTAAACACACACTTCAGCACACACTGACATCTCATTAATGTAGAGAAGCCTGTTTTCTTGTTTCATATCATCGCTCCTCTCTGTTCGAGCGACCTCCTCTCATGACCCTCACATCTCCGCTCGGATATTTAGGCCTCACCTCATAAAAACAACTTGGCCTTTTGTTCGGAATCCGCTCTTTATACCTGCAGCGTGCTAATTTGTCTCCGGGTAACAGGGCTTTTAGAAAGCACGAGGCAGAGCACCAGGCAATTTATTAGTCTAATTTAAAATGTCTGTCAGCAAAACGCTACGGGAGGCGGTAACTGGCTCCATGATGACAGCGCTGTGAATGGAGGATGTCATGTTATAAAGTGGATACATACAGCCCTGTTTATTATGCAGGGTTTAAGACTCTGACCTGTGGTAGGGGGGCTGGTGGAGATGTAAAAACACACACAAGCATCCTCTGAGTGGACTGATCACTGGAGACTCATCTATTACCTGACCTGAACTCCAATTGTTCCCCTGCACATTTGCTTTATTTCTGTGTGCATGTGCGCTCATAGGCATCATGGGAGTCTGAGTGTCTTTTGCTTTTTCATCCATTATTTTATGTTCACACCTAACAGACATATCGATTCAAATTATAATGTTAGTTTGGGGATATGTAATTTCTGCCAGCTCAGTGCCTACACCCAGATTCTCTGTCTCGCTGGAGCTGCACGAGTGCTGCATGCATCCCATTATTGTCCAAGCATACATGCATGCATGAACACCATCAGATGACATATTCTGAGGCAGGACACCAGGTATGCGGTGAGAGGATGATTATCATTTTCTCAGTTTCACTCTCACATGACATGTCAGGAAGAGTCAGTCTGTGTTGTCACAGTTTAGCGTTGCCCTGCATGCTCTATCATCGATACACTGTGCTGGTAATGTCACAAAAAGAATCAGCAGCTCATGGATGGCAGATACTGTGAGAGCCTCGAAAAGGACAGACAGTAACTCTGGTTAATTAAAAGCCAAAACACAGAAATAAGATAGTAAAGTGAGCCATGAGTTAATTAATAACATTGTTGAATTAAAAGAGCATTTCTGACATTGGTCATTTTAAATGATCAGGACAGATTTGAAATAAAAACAAATATTTCACAGTGAAAACAAAAATATTAAGACATGCTTATTGAATATTGATGTTGTATTTATCAGAGAGACTGAAATCCCAGTCAGGTAGGCCTCTATATTGATAGTGTCTTTGTTTTCTAAAACTTCTGATAAATAATAATACTCTCATTGCGGCAGTAGTTTGACTGTTACATTAACTGTATACAGGTGTATAAATCAATCACTGTTTTTTTTTACCTGCAGATAGCATGAGACAGTGAACAAAGAGAGCAGGATAACAATAAAAGATGAAGAATAACATTTTTTGGTCCAAGCACTTTTTTTGTAAAAATTTTGCAGGTGTTTGTTTTTGAAAGGAGGAAATAGATGTGAATGGTGTCAATCCTATAAATGGAGGGAATTAAGACGCAAGCCAAAAATGATGTTATTAAAGTATTTGTAAGTAAAGTTTAAGAAACTTAGGTAAGAAAGTAGCTACAGACAAGCTAAAGTCTATCATGCTGTCAGTGAGACAGTTTTGGTTGTCTTGTGGTTTGTTCACTGTACAGTGCCAGTATCTTTTTGACTGTTACTAGTTCAGCACCTCAACCCTCGACTGAGAGCTGGTATTACTGTGGATCTAAGTGTAGGCAGACATGCTGCCAGAGGAAGTGCACTCTGTGTAGTTCTTCTCTTTATCATTGAGAAGGAGAGGTTTTCCATCTGTATCATCAGCGATAACAATGACACTCAAAATGGCTCAAATAAAGGATATACATGCATTATGATTAACCGTCATGTATCAGTATTTTAACTACCCTAAGTCAAAAGTTTACTTTGAATATACATTTTAGTGTTTCTCTGAGAGTGTCACAACAGGTGTATAATATTTAAAGTCCCACTCTCATTGTCTTTTTTGTTTATTTGTTTTTTGTTTGTTTTACTATTAAAAGTGTTCTCTGTGTCTCACGTAACACGCTTGTTCCGCAATTGTCCTCTGTATTTCTCAGAGTCTGGCTTGCAGTGCTGGGCCTTGGGGGCGGAGCTTGGATTTGTGACATAGGAAATCTCACAGTGTCTGAAGCTGCCTTTGGTAAATCTGAGCCCCTGTCCCTTCAACTCCTCTGCATATTCCTGGTGTTCAACACCACCAACGTCCTCCAGCAATAACTTAGCTCTTGGCAGCAAATCCACTCTGTCAGAAACAGTCTACACAGTCTTCCTGTATCACCTTTCCAACACTCACCTTAAATTTATGGAGCCTTTTATTTCTCTCTTTGTCTGGCTGGCCTGCCTCTGACCTGACTCTGCTTTGAGCTCCTGTGTCAGAGTAAGAATATAATCACCCTTGCTGACATAAAGAGGGTAAAATTGCTGTGTTATAATAGAAACACTGATCAGAGTCTTTTCTGCATGCCACCATATTTATTTACAAAACAGTATACAGCCTTTTTTTCCTGACAGCATGAGGACAAGCTGATGAGGGAGAAAAGCAGCTATAAACTTTAGTTAGACTCCTCTTCCTCACCACGTATCCAGCACCCAGCTTTGGCAGCTGTGGAGTAATATACCTCATCACAACAGAATACATGTGCACCAGTATACAGGACGCAGCCAACCTTTAAGATGACAAAAAGTATTATAAGTGCATCTTCTGCACAGATAATAACAGAAATTTTTCAACAAACAGTAAAAAGCAAACTAACATTATCATGCTATAAAGAAGTGGACACTACATTTCTATGCTTATAAGGAAATGAAATATAACTCACAGTCAGTTGGAGGCCTGGTTTCTGCAGCATTGTGTGCTCAATGTGTCTCTTTCCATCCTTTGTCCTCACTCTGCTCTGCATTTTAAACTTGCTCAAGGATACGTGAATGCTGGATGGTTGTCCTGCATGGGCATCTGTGCTGGAGTATCTGGCCAGGAGTGTGAGTGCATTGCAGTGTGTGTGTGTGTGTGTGTGTGTGTGTGTGTGTGTGTGTGTGTGTGTGTGTGTGTGTGTGTGTGTGTGTGTGTGTTTAGGTTCACTGTAAACCTGCGTGTATCTCTCTCTCTTCAGCTGGTGGGTGGCAGGGCTGAGCAGGACCAGCTGGCCAGCTGTACAGGGCACCACGGTGCCCTGTGACCCCCTGCTAGTGGGGGAGCCGAGGCAACAGTGGCACGGCCATAAATCCACGGACACAGAGCATGTGGAGGTATTCAGGAGGCAGACACATCACCTGCCGCCTGCCGGCACGCTGCCTCCCTTGCTGCCCTCCTCCACCACAGCGTCTTTGCTCTCTGTCAAGAGCAAATTGTTCCCATGGAAATAGGGAGAAACATGTTTTTTTTCTTTTTTTTCAGGAATGGAGAGTTAAAACAATAGAGTTCAGATTTTTGGAGTCAGACACAGTTTCAAGGCCGGTTTCAACACATTTTTGCTTCATGCACACATCTCAGTCTAACACAGTCTAACAACGGTGAACCCCTGAGAAATTACCATATTTGTCCCCTGCTGTGAAGTCTAAATGATAAAGGCAAAAATCATGAATCATGGGCCTATAATTCATAAGAATACAAAAATCAACATGAGAACAGAGGGAAAAATGAGCAAACACCCCCCATGGGTCACACTTCTATTTGTCAAAACTGTCACATCCAGATCCAGACTCTGCTGATTGGATTTTGATGAAACTTGGGATAATGATGCTCTTCACCACAGTATTCCAACATTTCACAAATCATCATTATTTCTGACACCTCTGACTGGATTTTAGAAGAACAACTTATCCCACCATTTCATTCAAGTCAAAGCAAAATGACAAAATCACTCTTTAAGAACACGCATGTTAAACACACAGAGGCTGAAGTTGTGATAAAAACAAATGTCACTACGTTTTACGATAAACTGACAGACGACCAAACAACTGCAGCTTCCACATTCAAGGAAGATCAAACACTTAGTGCCTGAATGTCAGCTGCCCCGTTCATTACATGACATTTCAGAGAGCACTCCTGAATGACTTGTCTAATTCTGGTATTTGGAGGAGTAAACAAACCCAGCGAGTGTAATTATGAACTTAATTAACTGAAAGGCTTGAATTAAAAGACAGGGATTGAATAATTGGAGACAGGGAGCTCCTCCTCCCAATTGATACCTAATCAGTACACAGACAAGAGCAGTGCTGTCCTTTTTTTGGACATTTAAACATCATGTATTCATTAGCATCAGTTCTTTTTTTGGTTTTATTCTTAGGGTGTCTTCCCACCTTAAAGTCTGAACCAATGTCTATGTTTTTGTTACATGGTTTACATTTGGTTGGATCTGTTTAGGTTTCACACAGTCATTATTGCAAACGGACTAACAGACTTTACATCGCAAACCTACATGAGACTGTCACCAACTACGTGCTTTGTGTGTCACTGTAGTTTACATTGATTGGTCAATAGGCTGGTGGGCATCTGACGTCAACACATTGAAAAGTGCGGGTCTTGAATGGTGTAAACATGGATGAAATCGTCATTCCCACCATCGTACCATTTTTGTTTTTTTTTACCTCCAACAGTGACAGGTTGAAGAGCTGTACATGAGGACGGTCCGGAGAAGTCTCGTGAATTTGATCATAAGTCAACAACTTTGTCGTCATCAACAGGAAAGGAAAAGAAAGTATGCAATCCTGTGAGTCATTGCAACACCGGCTCGGGAGAAAAGTCTGTGTAGTAAAACTCTTGAAAAGATAAGCTGTCATTAGCGAGGTCTCACTTTATCCACAATATCATAAAATTTTCTGTTATCGGAAAATCTCCATTCAACATAATAACAAATACTTCAACTCCTGTCTTTGGTATGAAGGTCCGAACCTTTCTAATAATGCTTTCACACTAGGCATGAATCAGACCATGGTTCAGTTTGGTCCGGACCGAAACCACCTCTTTTGGTCGGACCAAGATCAGGCTGTTTGGTCTGGACCAAGGTCCTCGGGAGGCTTCACAGCTATTATTTTGGTCAGACTAAACAGACAAGTCTGTAAGTCTGGACCAAACGACATAGGTGTGAAAGCCCCCTTAGCCCTGTAAAACCCAAAAATAGAAAAACGCAAAAAAAAAAAAAATTTTTTCAACCATTCAGATGTTGTTGTAGGAGACCTTTGGGGGTGAAAATTGAGTGTTTTCAAAAAATGTATGTTTTAGTAAGTTTTTACAGAAATGTTGTAATATTGCAACGTTGGGCTTAATGGGGAGCAGAATCTTCTGTATTTCCACTCATTGTCTGAACAGCAATACAGGACTAAGGATTCATTTGCAGGATTTTGCTGTTCCCAAACCAGTATACACTCACCAGCCACTTTATTAGGTACACCTGTCCAACTGCTCGTTAACACTTAATTTCTAATCAGCCAATCACATGACGGCAACTTAGTGCATTTAGGCATGTAGACATGGTCAAGACAATCTCCTGCAGTTCAAACCGAGCATCAGTATGGGGAAGAAAGGTGATTTGAGTGACTTTGAACGTGGCATGGTTGTTGGTGCCAGAAGGGCTGGTCTGAGTATTTCATAAACTGCTGATCTACTGGGATTTTCACGCACAACCATCTCTAGGGTTTACAGAGAATGGTCCGAAAAAGAAAAAATATCCAGTGAGCGGCAGTTCTGTGGGCGGAAATGCCTTGTTGATGCCAGAGGTCAGAGGAGAATGGCCAGACTGGTTCGAGCTGATAGAAAGGCAACAGTGACTCAAATAACCACCCGTTACAACCAAGGTAGGCAGAAGAGCATCTCTGAACGCACAGTACGTCAAACTTTGAGGCAGATGGGCTACAGCAGCAGAAGACCACGCCGGGTGCCACTCCTTTCAGCTAAGAACAGGAAACTGAGGCTACAATTTGCACAAGCTCATCGAAATTGGACAATAGAAGATTGGAAAAACGTTGCCTGGTCTGATGAGTCTCGATTTCTGCTGCGACATTCGGATGGTAGGGTCAGAATTTGGCGTCAACAACATGAAAGCATGGATCCATCCTGCCTTGTATCAACAGTTCAGGCTGGTGGTGGTGGTGTCATGGTGTGGGGAATATTTTCTTGGCACTCTTTGGGCCCCTTGGTACCAATTGAGCATCGTTGCAACGCCACAGCCTACCTGAGTATTGTTGCTGACCATGTCCATCCCTTTATGACCACAATGTACCCAACTTCTGATGGCTACTTTCAGCAGGATAATGCGCCATGTCATAAAGCTGGAATCATCTCAGACTGGTTTCTTGAACATGACAATGAGTTCACTGTACTCAAATGGCCTCCACAGTCACCAAATCTCAATCCAATAGAGCATCTTTGGGATGTGGTGGAACGGGAGATTCGCATCATGGATGTGCAGCCGACAAATCTGCGGCAACTGTGTGATGCCATCATGTCAATATGGACCAAGCTCTCTGAGGAATGCTTCCAGCACCTTGTTGAATCTATGCCACGAAGAATTGAGGCAGTTCTGAAGGCAAAAGGGGGTCCAACCCGTTACTAGCATGGTGTACCTAATAAAGTAGCCGGTGAGTGTATATCATGAATAATAAGCTCAGTCATGTTGTTATAAAGAGTAATTTATTCCAACAAGAACTTTGACATTAATTTACATTATTTACATTATAAGCAGTTCTTGTCCTCTGAAAAACAGAGGCGGATATCCAACCCAGTCTCACAGCATCACACTTGTTTTGGGTATGAGCCTTTACTGCAATGTCTGCAGCGTCCTCTCTTCGTCTTCAGTGGAAAACGTCGAGTGAAGTCTGTGTGCACATCCACATTTATTTGCAGTGATCATCCTTGTAGCAGTTCCTGGCATCGCTATCTGATTCTTCGTCACTTGCATCAGTGTTGTTGAAATCCATGTCCACATCACTCTCTCCGTTTTGGACTATGGCAATTACATCCTGCACACTGTACCGAGGGTCTCTCCCTGCTGGTGGCATTCTGAAATGGAAAAAACAAAATTGAAATAAATGTATATACAAACAACACACATGCTTACTAGATTCTAGATGGCCAACAGGAAAGATGGGTTGGTGGGGAGACTGATTTCATTATGAAGTGTTTACACATTGCACTGAAGCAGCCTGTTCACACATTTCACTGGTCACACAATACTGACCTATTGGAGACTGTGATTATCATCGTAATGGGAATGCATGTAGTCTCCAGCTTACAACCACACCTTATATCCATGAACATTAACACCTGTTCCAGAACCATGCCACAAATGCACCAGGAACATCCCTGCTTTGACTATGAATTGCTAGGAACATTTTCTTATCAATGAGGCTAAAACACTGTGTTTATTAACCTAACAGGATTGCATGTAGCCTCCAGTTTACAACCACACCTACATCCATGAACATTAACACCTGTTCCAGAACAATGCCTCAAATGCACCAGGAGCATCCCCCACTTCTGCTTTGACTAAGAATGTACAGGAGCATTTTCTTATCAATAGAGACTAAGACAAAGGGCGGACATGCACAAACATAATTTTTTTGTTAGAAAGTCCTGCATTCTGTGATAAGGAGAAAATACTGAGTGTTGAAGGTGGTTAGAAATCATTATAAGTAAATGAAATGTTTAGATACAGCAATATATCTTAATATATAGTTACTAATACAATAAAATATGTAATCCAATATAAGGCTAAGGCTAGAAAGTGTAAATCATGTGTAGTTTAAAGTTATATTGTGAAAATTTCAACTAAAGTTCCTCTCAAGACATTCCTCTCAAAAACAGGGCTGTTTTGGCTACCACTTTGACCCATCGTTGTAATATTGCAACAATTATAAAACAAGCTCTAAATAAAATGTAGGGCATATTTTCCACAATTACTACATATGTTCATGTTCTACACATTGAAATAAACACAAAAAAAATATTCAAAGCATTTTACTTACTTGAATCAGATGAATCCAGTCCAGTAAATCGAAGGGATGTTGCTTGATCAAAAAAATAGAGGTTGTGTGACTTCTTCACTTGAGGGCGGGCTTTATATACAAATGTTGGATCCAATCGCATTATGAAAACAAACAGTAGGACCCAATGATCATGTTAATGTGGTTGAACTAGAAAAAAAAATAGAGGTTTTCTGTGGATAACCAAAAATGTTGTAATTCTGCAACACTGGGTCTTACAGGGCTAATTAGGCACACTTGTCGCCTACAACAGCAGTGATAGTGTTTGTATTGCTGAAGATTAGTTGAATAAGAAGAGGAGATTGAAAAAGTTGTGTAAATAACATTAGCTTTGTGACAGTAATCGAAATGGAGAGGCCAATGCTTGTAGTTAAGGCAGACAGGTCCTCAGCAACAGGATGATCCAGAGGAACCTAGACTGTCAGGAACAGTCTCCACAGTCCTACTGTATCACCTTTCTAGCACTCACCTAAAATTTATAGAGCCTTTTATTTCTCTCTCAGTCTGGTTGGCCTGCCTTTGACCTGACTCCGCTTTGAGCTCCTGTGTCAGAGTAAGAATATAATGACTCCGGCTGACCTGGAGAGGGTAGATCTGCTGTGTTATAAAAGGAACCTATGGCATGAAAGAGCTCATGGACTTTTAGAAAAGACTGTGTATTAGTGACTCTAATGGGATATGAGGATTCAAAGTTAATGACACAGACGGATAGAAGGAGAGAAAGGTGCTCATTCTGCCAGTAGTCCCAGGAGTCTGGACCTGAAGCAGCATACCTAAGAGCTGGTCCAGACCTGAACCATGTCTAACTATAGGTTTCATCAAAGATGAGCCTTAAAGGTAGAAAGGGTGCCTGACCCAATGGACCTGGACTGGTAGATGATTCTGGAGGAGAGAGGCCTGATAACTGAAAGCTTTTCCACCCAGAACTCTTTGCGAAACTTCAGCAGACCTGCATGTTGGGATCTCATTGTTATGATAGAAAGAGACGAAAGACGAGAGGAGAATGAAAGGGTTTTACTCACTTCTGATAGGTGGACTTGAAGTCTACATGACAGTCACAGCCCATTTTACTGACAATGACTGGGAACTGTATTCATTGGAACATGCTACAGACTAGATGCATTGGGGGTCCGAATCCCCCAGTGCATCATTTGGGGGATCTTCTCTACCAGCAGTACTTGGAAACCGCTGGTCAAAACCGGACATTACGTATGATACAGTTTTCAGCAGGTGAGCCAAGCATACTTGAACCCAAGCACTCATCTCAGTTGGACTGGTTGCTCTAATGTACACTCTATCCATACCACTGTCATAGCATACGTCACACACACACAGTTTTACCTCAAGTTTAGGTACAGGCTGATCCCATAAGGCTTTCTTATTTCGTATTAGTTAGCAGGTTTCTGGAGACACACACACACACACACACACACACACACACACACACACACACACACACACACACACACACACACACACACACACCAATATCCAGATGCAGGAAGGCACTGCAGCACCTAAGTCAACAGAGTGGGTGACAGGGAGACGGACTATTGCCCACTTGCTCAGAGTCATTCAGTCTAGACTCCAGATGTTGGCAAAAAATAAACCAGCACACCCACCTACACACCCACCTACTCACTCACACACACACACACACACACACACACACACACACACACACACACACACACACCAATGCGCACATACACACATATACGCACACACACATATACGCACGTTGAATATAGTGAGAAGCCTCAGTAGAGCCTGTCTTCATGAGGCAGCATCCCTACCAGATGTCACTGAGTGTTGATAGACTCTTACCTCTGCTGGAGACCAGTGTGTGTGGGAGTGTTTGTATTTGTCTGCATATGTGTGTGGGGCACAGCATTTTTGTGCAGCCACATACATGTGTGCATGTTTGCCTATTTAAATGTGTGTGCGTGTGTGTGTGTGTGAGAGTACAGTAATGCCGAGCCTCGGAGCAGCTTGAGAACAGTAGCACCACACAGCAGGAGCTGGTGCAGACAGGGCTGCTCTGTTTGACGAGGCGCTAAATGTTTGTTGTTCTTTTGAATGTCTAATTTGTTGCCATAACATATGCACATCTTCAACTGCTGACAGATGATTATGTGCAACTGTGGAAGACTGTGTTCTGTCATTATGAAGCCTGCAAACTGCAAATATTCTCAACTTGCAGAAGCGACACACAGCAGGAGTCTATGAACTGACTGACAGTGATTGATTGATCAGCAGCTGGTTTGACTCCAAGAGGTACATGTCAGAGTGTTGTCACTGAGAGGCACCGACACATAACAGCCAGTGTTTTCATTTGTCATGTATAATGGTCATTACTTGTCTTTAGTCTTCTGTAGTTTTTGATGGTGAGGTGTCATATTCCAACTGTTGCAGACTCCTGTATAAACAGAAAACTGATCATTACTGATGATGATAGAGCAGGTCAGCCGATGGCTCACATATAATGCTGTCTGTGTCTGTGTTTCTTTGTGTTTTTTTCAACATAATGTGAAATCTGTTGCTCTGTCCTTGGTTGCCCTTCCTCACTTTGGCTGATTGTGTTTATTTTCCATAGTTTCCATAAATATTGAGATAACATTATAATTGCAAAAAATTGTATGGCTACGACAATTGTGAGGTAAAAATCTGATAGAAATACTTGTGTCGTATTTCCTGTTTCATGTGCCTACATGACAAACTGAAGCAGGGAGAGCAGCAGCAAAGGCCCCTGGTGGTACAGAACAGAGTAAAGGCTAGAACATACAAGATGTGTATTTGGAGCGTGGCAGCAGCATCGCGCATCACGCAGCAAATGGGTTGCCACTCCAATCAATGCAACAAAGCATACAGGACGCATATCAGCTCTGTCGTAGCATCGTATTGAGAGCAGCACTGCTAAAGATATGCGGCAAGTCTATTTTTGCTGCTCTATGCTTCCAATGCGCTTTAATCCACACAGAGAAGATTGTTCCAGACAGGAAGTCAAGCACGTAAAACGTGCATGTCATCTGGTATTTCAAAATAAAACACCATATGCAGACTCCTGACTGTGTATCAGTTTGTGTAGATGAGAAATACTTCCTGGTTATGGATTTATCAGTAACACAGAACGATCCGATGGTCAATCCCTTAACCATGTGGACCCCAACAGGACTTTTAACTGCTAACTCTGTCTGAAGGTAACAGCACAGCATAAAGAAACATAGGTTACTATATTAAACACCAGTAAACCTGCAAAAACCGAAACTATAAAATCATGCTGCTTTTTCACATATAGTAGAGGCTCAACAGTCAATGAATTATATCCACATTAGCAGGAAATAGACCACAGAAAGGCAAAACAACCTGCTGTGAGAATGTTGTTTCCCCTATACTGAGCCCAGCTGACTGGGGCTGCACTACGCTGCTGCCATACTCCAAATACGCATCCTGTATGGGATACCCAATGCTGCTCTATGGAGCAAATACAGAACAGGTTCAATATGGATCCTGTATGTTTTTCGGCTTAAGTATCAGTCACAATACACATGACCCCAGTAAAATAAGATTCCACATTAAAGGAGGAGGTGGGCTGTAATGTGGTTTGCCTAGAAGGAAATGTGGGCCTGTCTGAACTAGCACTATTCTTTATCTTCGAAAGCTGGTTCTATGTCGTAAAAAGGTGATTTTCCTCAGCAAGCTTTTGGACATTGCTTGTTTATTATTGCTAACCCATCAGAGTGGTCCTCTCCTCATTGGTCACATTTAAAAGCACTGCGCTGTTATTGAGCTGAGAGAGAAGAGGCATCACCTGAGGATTCTTGTGTGGTGAAACCTGTGCTAACAGACCATATGTGTCAACCACTCTGCAAATATCACCCTTGAAATATTAAAGGGGAATAAATGTATTGTGGCACCAGGGAGTGTGTGGCTGCTCTTTAGGAACCCACTGTCCAAGGATTGCTTTAAAGACTCACTCTGATAAAAATCATGTTTTTCTACATGTTGTTGTGGCATTTTTCTATTGCTAAAGGATGTATAAAGTCAGCATATTTGAACAGTCGGAAATAAAAATAGTAGATATACAGTAATGCAATTGCTATCTTTGAGCTGCTGGATGACCAAAGGGCTGGTTTTATTTACAGAGGTAAGGTTATTAAGGTAAAGTTTTTCATTTGTTCTTCTGTGAATATCTTGCCATCTTGTTTTTATTTAATCGGCAGATCGTCTGGTTTTGCTCACAGTATTCACCTTTCCACAGATGGCCACATTTCTTCTGGCAACGCCGTAGTTCACCAGTGTGTTTATTTGCCTCCTCCACCAAGACCTCAAACTCCATGAATCCAAACTTCATTTTTCATTTACAGCCACTCTGCTCTCCCAAACTCTCCATGGCGTCAGCCACACAAAATCCTCATCAAATAGGGCAATCTGCACAGTTTTCATTTGTGAATGCTGTCATAGTAGATCACCTGCAACACACACACTAATAGCACATGCAATGTTTTAGTTTGCACACACAGTTTAGCTCTTGTTATGTGGGATCTTTGTAGATCAGGCCCTTAGCCTCTTTGGTATTTGGGATTTTTGGTATTTTCTGCACTTATTTTTGTTCCAAGAATTAAAGTGAAACTGCCTCTAAATAAGATTATGGAACAACTTGAAGCAGGAACGGTTGGTGTTTGTTGTGCAGCTTTGAATGACCCTGTATCAGACTTCCACTGACACTAACAGACCAAAGTGTCCGCATTTGGGAGGTGACTGATAACGGTGTCAACAAGAGATGGGAAGGATCACACCCGCATCTGCAGCCATGTTGACCTGACAACACACAGCCGACCTTACACACACACGCACGCACACAAATGTGCACACACACACACACACACACACACACACACACACACACACACACACACACACACACACACACACACACACACACACAAACAGTAGCAGGAGGTGTTGTTGTCTGTGCTCCACTACAGTCCATCTGTTGTCCAGTCAGGAGGTGAGTCCGAGGGGGG